TGAACATTTTTGCAATGAGATGAAGGGTTTTCACCTTTCTCCCCTTCAGTCAGGAGAGATGAAATTCTTTTCAGTCCCTTTTCAACATGTTTCTGCAGGGTTGGTGATTATTGGTCCAAACAAGGACACGCCGAGCACTTGTGAATATGATCGGTCCTGGAAAGCAAGCGTTTAACAACGAGTTGATGTAGTCTTAGATTCAGGAGACACCATTTATCTTCTTTAATCGTGTTCAATTTAAGGAACACAAATCAGGATATTTCAAGAGCACCAGTGGACTTGTGTAATTACCGATCCACCAGCGATGACCACAGACATGCTGTACACACCCTGCCCTGCCCAAAGACTTGCTCAACTCGTGCGGCATGTCTGTGTTTTGCATTATTTTCTGCCTGAACTAAGAAACTAAGAATGAGAGTAATATCCATAACATCAGGCTGCGCTTACACAAACACTGCTAACTCTGTTTTATAATGTATTTGGCCAGAACGCAAAATAATTAATGTTGTCTTACAGGCGATATTAAATTTGGAGTTGATGGATGAGACTTTAAAGCGGCGTAATAACGCTGCCTTTCCTGCAAAGACTCGACTTCTGACCTTCTGCCTGGAGTCAGCGAGGTCAGCGCGTATTGGTCTGGTTAGTTTACGCTCTTCTTCAAACATCCGTTACAAATTACTGCGAGTGTGTGCGTGTGTGTGTGCATGTATGTGTATGTCTGCTTGCATGAATGGGTGTAACTCTGCAGTCAGCACTGTCTTATCATAAATTACTGTCAGAGATAAACAATGGAAGTTTGGAGAAGGTTTTAAATGGGGCATCAGGAAATGCACGCTGCCTGGTCCCGTAAAGACGAGTCTAAACAAACTCGTATTTATATTTATTTAATAAATCAATAATATGTAGTTTGATGCGTTTAAATCAAAGTGGCATGATGGTTAACAAGAAGAAATGGAAAACAAGTTTTGTTTCGACATTCAAAGCTTAGTCATACTGACAGTCATGAATATTCTTACCTGAAACCAAACGTTCTGTGAAAAATTTACAGCTTCAGTCCAAACACCGTAAAACATCATATTTAGGTCTGTAAGCATGCATTTTTTCATCAACACTAAAATCTAAGTGCAGCTGAGTAAAACCACAACAGCAACAGAGGTCTAAGAAATGTTTGCATTACTTCAGTTAGCTGTGGTTCAGTGAATCAGATGATGATGTGAGCATGAGCGCATCACCCGTGAAACGTTTGTGTGCCCTTCTGTACAGCTGCAAACATGACGAATCTTAAACGTGTTTAGTCTCCAGTAACGCACGTGTAAATAAATACGTAATAATTATTCACTTAATGATCCGTGTATATTTGGTTTTAAGTAAACGCTTGGTGGACTCGTGCTTTTGCGTCAGCTGCATAACCTCCAAACACATATGACAGCTTATTAGTACACCCTTAGTCACCACAGCACGCTGCTCTTTATCTGCACATCAACATGAAGGTCCTGACCCTGTGGGGGTCAGCAAAGCAAGCTTTGTTCAATGTCACATCTTAATGAAGCAAAGCGTGCACTCAGAAAAGCAGGATTAGGGGTTTAGTGAGATAACGTCAGGTTTAACCTCGGGTTATGAGGGTTATGAAGGGTTACTCCTCGCTCAGCTCACCATGATAACTTGTGCTCTAATCTTTCTGAAGACCCTGGTCTTCAGAAAGATTAGAAACGATATAAAACGATATACTAAAACGATATACTAATACTGACCAGAAAATCTCTGGAAAATAGTTTAACTAGTCCCAGAAAATCTCAAGGACCTGGAAGGATAAATAGCGAAAGGCCTTTACGAGACCATATGAAGTTTCTCTTGTTCCCTGACAAACATCAGTAGCACTTTTGAAAAAGCTACAAGGCTTAATATATGAATGTAATCCTTAAACAGGGAACCTAAAAATGTATCCTGCATTATGCGTTTAACGTCTTTGGACTATCTTCATACTGTAGGTTGTAAAATATGTCAGCAATTTCACTCACTCACTCACTCTTAGCTTGATGTGAAACATATCGAGCTTATTTGCAAGACTGTCAATATTTGCATAAGTGAAGTCATCGACGACAAAGACTCCCTGCTAAAGTTGAGCTTATTTCATCGTGCAGACTCCAGGTCTGTGTTTATTGGTCCTCTGCTTTGAGGCAAAGACAGGAGAGTCATCACATAACGTAGCTAACCTTAACCCTTCCAGCCTTTAAAGGGTGGCACATGTGCAGTGTGCTATGTGCTCTACATATTTCATGCAAAGTGCATGAATTTTGAACAGGTAAATGACAAAATTGCATGCAAAATGCTGCATTTTGTAAATATGACTTACAGAGCCTCTCATCACAGCTTAAACCAAAGACTTTTATACTGAAGACAAGAGGTATGACCACAAAACTAAAAGCCAGCGCCTGATAAAAATCTGCTGCTGTTAGCTGGGTCTGCTCACACTCCATGCTGGCAGTGGGCTCTCTTTTTAAACTACTGTGAGCAGTTGTCGTGTCTCTTCGTGTTTATTCTTGTGCACATCTCTGCTACATGTTGGTTTATTCGTATGAACTTTCTGTTGTAACTTTGTTTTTGGCTGTTTTGCGTTCTTTTGTTGTCTTTTGTAGTCGTCTGTTCCGCCCTCATTGGTTTCACCTGCACCCAATCAGCTCGTCCGTCGTCCTGTTTACCCTCCAGCTCTCTGTGTGTCCCTCATATTTACCTTCCTGGATTCCCGTTTCATTTGTACCAGATTTTTGTTCTTTCCAGGACTTTTTGTAAGTTTTGTTTTTTTTAATCAGCCTAGTATTAAAGCTCACTGTGTCTGCATGTGGGTCCTCACTTTATTATCTCATAACAAATGCAGCTACTGAAAGACATGAAACACACCATCTGTCGCTCTGCTTCACCTAACAGTGTTGGTTTATCTTTAATAAACGGGAACAGTCTGATTAAGGGAAAAATGCACAGACAGAAGACAAAAAGAGAAACACAATGGTGTTTTTCTCTTATTTGCTTTTGTGGTAATTTAACAGTTTAGTAGTTGCTGCAGGAAGGAGAAGATAAAATCTGTTAATAAGATTCGAAAACTGGGACAAAGGAATCAGGGCACGCCGGTCAGACGGTTCAGGCGTGACTTTGTGATGAATACCCCGAGAAACCAAACCGTTTAACATTACGCATCTGTGTTTGTGCGTCTGGGGACAACAATCCACTTCAGCATCTCGTAAAATGACCATCAGCTGGAGTCACTGTCTGAATGACCGCTGTGTCTGTGATCGTGACTGACCACAGCGAGCTGTTCGCTGACTGGCCTTGGGTTGTGTGTTTTCCAAAGGTTATATAGTGAGCTTTTAACCCTGTAATCAGAACACGTCTTTTTGTCTAAATATTCTAGTCTGACATCATACAAAAGCACCCTCTCAATCAATGACTCTCTCTCTTCTGTCATATTTCAGTCCAATAAATACAAACTGATCACTGTGTGTGTGTGTGTGTGTGTGTGTGTGTGTGTGTGTGTGTGTGTGTGTGTGTGTGGAGAATGATGCAAGCAGTACTCGATGTAAAATGCACACACACATAGACACACAGCGGTTTAATGAGAAAAAGGTGCAAGCAGCACAATGGCGTTCAATGCTGCCAGACCACTGGTCCGTATCTCATACTCTCCCCTCCCCCAGCGTCTCCCCTCTTTTAGTTCCACATCTGTTTCCCAAACTTTGGAAGGGGCCTTGAAGAGCACAATATCTGGGTCAGAGTAAACTGCTTCTTTGTGCATATGCATGTGTGCAAGTGTGCAATAAGGAGTGCACCACACACAAAACGTTGTCACACACACTTTGAACCTGAACATGTGGAGAGTCTCAGGTGTGTGTGCAGGTTAACAGTTATTCTAAAATGGCTTGGATAAAAAGCAAAGGTGGGATATTATCATTGGCATCCTGTAAAAAAATTAGAGAAAGGGGGGTTAAAAGCGGGAAGAAAAGGAAGTTTAATTTCCGGTAGACAGCCTGCATAACTCACTGTGTGCATAGTTTTCCATTTTTCTCCATTTTATTCTTATAGAAGAATAAAGAATAAGTGTTTCGAGCACTTCTCCTTTGAACTGAAAGCTAAATCCAGATTTGGGACGTCTTAAATTTAACCTGATAACTTAATCCTCATTCTCCACGATCACAGTTTGAGCAGCAAATCATGAGGATTCATCCTTTTCTCACTTCTGTGAAGCGATAACTTTAAGGAGTGAGTCGAGTCTCAGTGTGGGATGGTCAGCACTGTCACGCTACATCAACAAGGTTTCCAGTTCAGACCTCCTGGTTGGCTCTGACAGCAGTTTGTAGGTCTGAAGCCATGTTTATTAGGTTAACTGGTGATTGTGGTGATTATGGTTAAAGTGTGTGTGTCTCTTCCACAATGTGTATATATGCTGCCACCTTTTGGACAAAACTACTATTACAGTAAAAAAAAAGATTGAACTGGTAATGAGTGAATATATTTTAATGGTCCCACCGTGGACGGGAAACAACCCAATATGACAGAAAATAGAGTTAAAACACAGTTTACTCCTACAAGTGTTAACAAAAGAGTGTTAAAGATGATTTTTAAATACATTTAAATGGTTTATGTGTAAAATACTGTACATATAGAAACAAATAATATAGTTTCAAAGGTTATTTTAGTTTTTACTGATAAATTTTTATTATCTTTGAAAATTATGGATTTAGTTAAAAATGATGTGACGATGTAGACATAAAAAATAAATATTAAAAATAGTATTTACTTTTGTATTTTACAAATTGTATAAGCCAAACAACACAAGCACAAGTTAACAGACTGAGCTGGGACAAAAAGGGGTTTTCGGTTAGAATTAAACTTCAGGATTTAAATTAAAGCTGAAATGTGGTAAAATGTATTACAACAGTTTCCAGCATGAGTCCACATTCTTTAAAGGACTCCTTTGGTCTTTGGCACATTTTCTCTGTTACTGCCTCTCAGCCTTCTTTCTTGGGGTATTTTTCCTTGGCCAGTCTGACAAAGTCCTCAGCGCTGTCCAGCAACACCAGGCGGTCCTGAGAGAAACATCAAGAAACACAAAAGTAGTTAAAGACTGTTTAGCAGACAGATGTAGTCGGAGGAAGAGGCACAACAACAAAACAGTAGAGCTATGAGAGAAGGCGTGAAAGACGAGTGAAGAACAGGGAGGGTAGAAAGTGAGAGGTACTGTAGTTTCATCTGATAAACAGGAGCTTCTTTGTATCTCTGAACATAACAGCAAAAATGCAGCCTAACAAGATTAACCTTATCAAGACAACATTCTGGGCCACCGGGCTGGGTGACGGTGTAACGACTGCTATTTCTCTGCTCAAATTATACAGCAAGCTTAAAAACAACTACAGCTTAGCGAAAACACCGCACACATTATAGGAAACAACAAAATAAAAAGCAAGACAGGCAAAGAAAAACTAAAAATCGACACGTAAGCAAAATGTAATAAAAATGTTTTGTTTTTAAAAAATAAATAAATAAAAAAAAAAACCAGGATGAAAACTATATGATCATAATGCAAATAAGGATGCTGCAAACATGCAGATCAAAAAAGCCCAAACATAGAGTAGCTTTGCTACTGTGAAGCATCCTTTCCTTCTATTCTTGATCAAGAAGTAGTTTAAAGCAGATGGTCTGAGCATCTAAGAGCGAGAGCGGAATTGTCATGGTGGGCTGTGTGGCAGGCAGGCAAGCAGGAAAAAGGACCCAAAATGCAGGACTCTGGGAGACAAGACTTGAACTTAAAATACAGCTTTAATGCTGGAAAAACTCCTCATAAAAAATAACTCTCACAGAAAAGAAACAAAGCAGAAACACGACAAACACACAGCTTGGAGAAAGTACAACACAACAGAAAGCACAGGAAAACACGGGGCTTATATACACAGGGGAGTAATCGGGGAATGGGCAACAGGAGGGAGACACAGCTGAGAGAAATTAGGCTAATGGGGGAAGTAAACTGAACACACTGACATGAGACATAAACTTTCAAAGTAAAACAGGAAACCAGAAACAATTCACAAAAACGCAAACTTGACACTGAGTGGTGGACAGAAAGAATATAACACATAAAACAGA